TATTGTGTCCACCTATAGTCTGTAGAGTTTAAGACATACTATATCTACTATGTGTGAAGCCAAAACAAAAGAGACTGTATAGCAATATTATGTATCTTAACTATCAAATTTGAGCATTATATATCTTTTATCTTACCTAAAAGATATAGCTCGACTAAGGTAAATCCTGTGAAAATGATGAATACAACAAATACAACAAATAAATTCTTATTGGCTTTAGTTAAATCCATTTTTAAATCAAACTCATGTAATATATTTGTTATGACTGTTACTGAATGTTTAGAAATCCGGTAAGTAATAGATATACCATTGCTGCGTTGACGATTTCTGGGTTTGCGTAAATTATACCATAATCACGTGACCTTTCTTATGCCTTGACCTCACGAGACAAAGTCGAGTGAGGTTGCATAAGAAAGGTCACGTGATTATGGTATAATTTACGCAAACCCAGAAATCGCCAACGCACCAATGGTGTATCTGTTTTAACCTATAGCTCCGCCCAGAAACACTTACTCCTTCACTGAAAATTATACCATAGTCTGGGTATGGTATAATTTACGGTTATTGGAAATTATACTTGGAAGAATTTTACATAAGAAGCGCTGAAGAGCTATAAGGTTAATATAGAATAACTGACTTTGGCAGAATAAAAAATTCTACTGCGACACACAATTATCGTTTTATTACCTTTAATTAGTTGCGCCACTGCAGGCTTCAATTTGCCTTTCATAAAACATTAATAACTCATACACTGGTGTGCAAAACATAAATACATACATGATTGGGCTTGATCGGTATATGGGACGAAGAACTGCTGTCATTACGCAAGACTCAAACAAATTAAACGACTTATTAATTTTTCAAAATAAGGAATCAAGAAACATTTTTGCCCGCCTAGCACAGTAAAAACATATTAAATCTAATTGGAAGAATGGGAAAGTTTTAACATTTAGAATTTAGAAGATATCTCCGTTAAAGACGTTAAAATTTGTTAATTTTGTGTCTGCAATCAATAAGCTGAAAATACTAGTATGTCACTTAAAGTAACAGATGATACATATATTAATCTTATTGCTAGCCCTTGACTTACTAAAGTGCTCAACAAGTAAAATTTTTATTACGTCGCAATTCGAAGAAAACAGCATATTGTTTGGCAGCATGGTGCCGGTAGGTTGGTCAGTCAATACCTCCTTAATTATTGCCTATCAATTTAAGATCAAACTTGAGAAAGCATAAGCCCTTTATCTTACTACTTCATAGGTGCATTAATCTGAGCCATTAGATGACCCTTCAATTTTTTTCAATAGTCCAAAAGTCAAAGTCACAATGACTTTTTATATAACACCATTTTTTATCAATAACTCGATAACCAACAGACCCTTGCCTTCAAACTTCACATCAACATTAACCTTGGCTAGAAGATGATCCACTATTGGCTTTATTGAAATGAATAAAAGTTAAAGGCCATATTGACTTTGTATGTCAAAACGATTGCCGATCAATAACTTCACAACCCATGATCCGTTGGTCCTCAGACTTTTCTGCTGCACTTGAACAGTTAATTATATCTTTTCATCTTTTTACGTCAAGGGGTCAAAGGGCATATTGACCTCATATATAGAATAAAAACGACTTCCGTAAAATAACTGGATAACCCATGGGCCTTTTGCACTCAAACTTAAAACTTAAAACTCAAAAAAGTATGCATTGGTCCTGGATAGAACATGACAACACGTAGTTGATTTTGGAGTTAAGGGTTCAAAGGTTAAGATTACATTAACCTTGTTCTTACCAATAACTCTATAACTTCTGGGCTTGTTCTTGGCAAGTAAATGCCGCATAATAATGTTAGATCGCAGATTCAAAAGTCACATTGACCCTGCATATCAAAACGATTTTCGACAAATAACCTGACGTCCCGTGAGACGTCGACCCTCAAAATCACCGGGGCATTGCACTTTGCCGGGATATTAGACTTATTGATATTGGCGTCAAGGACTCAAAGATCATGATAAAATCGACCTTGTATGCCAAAACGTTTTCCCAAAAATAATTCAAAAATCCATGGGCCCCTAGACCTCTTACTTCACAAGTACGTCGGCCCTGTGCAGTAGATGACCCCAATTGATTTTGGGGTCAAGGGTTCAAAAGTCACAATGACCATGAAAATCAAAACGGTTTCTGACTAATAATTCTTCAATTTATTGGCCCTTAAAATTAAAAAAATAAGCCCTCGACACTCAAACTCACATGCACTTTTGTCTCGGCCAGTTTATAGTTCATCTTTATGTTGGGGTCGCAAAGTCAAAGGTCAAGACACATTAATCTTATATTTCAAAACGGTTTCCAATAACTCGACAACCCATGGGCCTTCTGCCGTCAAATTTTGCAGATTTATTGGCCTAAGACAGTACATGACCCTTATTCATTTTTGTTGTAGGGTCACATTGACCATGTATGTCGAAATTTTGTCTTAATTGTGGGGGGGGGGGGGTCTCATAAGTGGATATTATCATCATGGCACAAACATTTTATGATACAGTCTATTTTGTATAAAGATGTTCAACCAATATGTATCAAATAAGAATTTAATTCTTCACCAAAAGTTTTGCAGGAGGCAACCTTAAAACACTCTGAAATATATTTCCTCGCCTTTTATGCCTTTCATTTTGTAAATGTTAAAGAATATTTCAATCATAGCCGTTTAACACATTGTTCCATCAAATGTCATTTAAGTAGGGTTTCCAATGTCATTAATAAATTGAAAATGCCTCATAGTATCCTTTATAAAAATTCTTGGCAACCATAAAGAAAACAATATCCTAACCAGTGCAGTAAGTGAAGTATTTTCGTATATTTTCATACATAAAAAACAACCACAAAAAACAACAAAATTTTCAAAAACAAAGAAAACAACTAAAATAAAAATACAATGGCTACAAGTTAAAACTGCATTAGTAAATCTGAATAATAAAACCTCTGGAAAATATAATTACAGAGTGGACAAGTATGTGTATATGTGTAGTTTTTTATATAGTGTAGAGAATTTTCCCCAGGAGATAAAATGAAGAATAAAGAAAGATTACATTTATTTCCTTATAATTTACCTTACTAACGTTATGCTTTTTTTTATTGAATTTTGTTAAAAATTGTTGTTATTTTTTCAATTTTGTTGAATTGGATCAAAGAGAAAGCTAATTTCTATAAATTTTTGGGACACACTATTGAACCTGATGTTTCATGTGCATGGAATATTTCACATTTTTTATAACAAATTGTTTTTCACTGAGACTCATTTACAGTGTCTGTTGTATTATATGAGAATATGATAATAATATATTGAATAGCCTGATCGGTGGACCTGTGAGCCTCCCATTATCCTGAACTGGTATTCTTCAGCTGCACAACCACTTTCTCTGATCTCAATTATTTGTTGTTTTGTGTGTGTGTGTTTTGTGTGCGTGTGCGTGCGCGTTTATTTATGTGGTTTTCGTAAAGAAATATTCAAATAACTTTTCAAAAGAGAAACACTCAAACTAGTAAGTAAATTGTTATTCTAACACGACCTGCATTTTTCCCTATTGAATATAGAAGAACCAAAAGTGTGTATTATTATACAATAAAATCACTATTGACGTTCAATATTAAGATATGTGAAGTAATCATTATACATGTGACGTAACCAATAAAAACTCCGACTCACAGAAAATAAGTACGGAAACAAATCAGGCGCAATTTTGCTTATTATCAGGTACGGCAGCATTTATATATAATTGATGTCGTGTATCGAAATACTATATCCAAGTCGGTGATTTTATCGTTGGATAACATCACTGTTTGTCGTTCGGATGCGCATCATTATATCACTCGTGATATAATTCCTCTCCAAACAGTGATGTTATTGAGCAATCAAATCACTGTTTGGGATATATTATTTCTTAAAAAAACTTGAATTTATTTCATAAATATAGAAATTGCTAAAGATATTTTTCATCTTATTTCACCTGATAGTCCTTTGTAACTCAGCATTTTACATTAAGGAACAAAACTTAAGTTTAAGTGAACTCATGTCATCTTAAGCAGCTTTTCCTGCTTGTCTTAATGTAATTTGTCATTTATTTATTTTTTGTGCTATTTTACTATCAGTTTTAATTTTTTCTATTCAGAATCACATTTTGCAAAAACTTGGTTATCACTTGTTCACTGTTTCATACAATATGATTTATCCACCCTGTATGTAAAGTTGTTTTATTAAAAGAGTTATCTTGTTCACTGACTACATTTCATCAAAACAACCTTTTGCTTTTTTCCTCTATATGTATGTAGAGAAAGTTAAATTTTTCCTATTTCTATTAGAGAGTAAGCTAATTCAACCTGCAACGTTAACTTTCTGGTCGAGTTGACTAGTATATCTATGTTATCTTAAATAAATATTGACCCGTGGTGTCATCCTGACAAACACTATACATGTATATCTAAATACTGAGATTATGTAATGAACTTATTTTAAAGATACGTAAAAAAGAAAGATCGCAATTCCGAAATACAATAATAGGCAAATTTTATCATACATTAATGGATTTGGTCTGTAGCAATCTTAAATGTTTTTTTTTATCAAGTTTGCTCAGATTAATTTTATTTGCTCCATTTAAGGGACCGCTTGAGATGTAAAGGTAGCGTGAGTCGATATGCTTTACTTACCAGATGAAAGTTACAATGAACTTGGGACATTTGTGAAAGGTTCCTATCATTTTTACTTTGAAGAAGAAAAGAAAGACAATCAGTGTTGGGAAACATTTTAACTAGTGAGGCAAGTTGAAGTTGAGCTTGAACTTCAACAAGTTTATTTGCAAACATATTTCTATAATCACTGAAAAACAGTTGTTTCTTGTGAGCGATTCAGGGTCATCATGGCCCTCTTGTTTTATCATTTATTTCATATTTTCACTTTTGTTTTAAAACTATATCAAGCTAGAATATTTACCTATTCGTGTGTGAAATTAACTCGCCACTTGAAATTACCAATGTGTTAATGCACACACTCAAAAATAATAAATGATTTATATGTCTAGGTTCTTGCATGCATAACTTCATAAGATTGTAATATCAACCAAATGACTACACTATAATATATCGATTCCCAAAGCCACCATATAATACATTTTTTAAACAACAATTTGATCCACTTTGCGTTGCAATAAATTTAAAATTCTATTATTCTGCACTGTTGAGCACTGGCGAGTAAGCAATCAAATGAATTTACGGTACGGTGTTCAAACTAGCACCATTGAACTTAAAAGATACTTATTATTATATCTTTTTATCTGCATTATCACAATTATAAGACTGAAATAGTACTCAGTGATTGATGTCATATTCATGCTTAGATTCTTTTCAAATAATGCATGCATTTTAGTCTTTATTTATAAAATAATACAATTTCTGACTAGACAACAAATAGTAAATAGCAAAAAAGTCAAAATATCTACAAAATCTAAAACATAATAACATAGATACAATCAAGTAAATCAATATAACGTTGTTTTTTATATTTCTTTTATTGATCTACAAAATTTGTTTATACCTATTTACAATACTTTCAAGATTGTCAGAGAATACGCGCAACGGACACCGTGTGTGGTATTACGTAAAGCTTTTCTTTAAAGGGACACCACTAAAGATTCTATTGACATCGCGGAACTAGAAATATCTTTTAACGATTTTGGTACTACTTGATCGATGTAGGTTTGAGCCAATAACATGTGTGCACAATTTTACATCATTTTCTTAAACCAGCTGGGCCCAGGGTTAAAAAGCAATTCTCTGAGGTCAAATTCAGATCTAATGTATTTGATTGGTCACAAACTGCCACAGAATGTACACTGACCAATGAAAACCCTGAGATTTGAGACAGAACTTGAAAAAACGTTTTATAACCTTTAGGCCAGTTTCCACAAAATGTACAAAATGACATTATAAAATACCCGTAACTCAAATCGGACTTTGAATAGCACAAAACAAATTAATTTTGAACTTAATTCTGAATTATTTTATAATTATCTTTTGCATATTTTCTCGTTGTAAATGCTTAAATTGATCGGTGTTAAAATTTCATATTTAGTTTTTAGGCTTTTACAACAGCGGAGAACCTTAAGTAGCAAGTGTCTTTCCTAAAAAAGATCAAAAACATTTATGAACGCGAGAAGATATTACGAGTTTTGTATGAAGACACCCGGTGCTAAAAAATGTTATTTCCTAGTTGCTTAAGTGTTTTGTATTATTTCGGGGATGTTTTCTATTAAGAATTGGTGACAAATCAAAAGATATTGTTAAGGATATCTCATGAGAAATAAGACTAGTGTCCTCATAGCAGAATTTTAAAAGCACCCATAGCGACTATTTATAATATGTTTTGTTTCGTGATCAATCTTGAACAAATCATGTAAGATTTCTAAAGTCAAAATTTAGGTAAAGCTAAGAGGAGGTTTAATTTGTCAATCATTAAGTTCAAATAACTAATGTAGCTTCTTTTAAACTAAATGTACATTTGTATTTAGGTTTTCCAAAGCATACTCGTGTAATTGGAAAATAAGGTTATCCAAGTGGAATCAACATCAATGAGTTGTCTGCCTCAACACCAGTGTCCGATGTCAGATATTCGCACATGTGTGTGTCTTCATGAAATGTTGCTCCATAACAGCCGTACATTTTGCAGCATTTCACGGCGCATTGGACGACGGATAGAGACGGGCTTGGATCTGTGTTCAATGCATTGACACCTGCGCGTCCTTTGTCCAATCTGTAGTCTGTAAGAAAGAAAAAACAAAGCTAGTTTTGTCCACATAAACCAATAATATAAGATTAGACCAAAGATGTATTAACACTTCCTTTGGTCCTTTTAGCTTTAATATATAAGCTGGATGTAGGAATATTTTACACTACAATGTGGCGCCAAAGGGTTTTTAAAGATATTTTTCTTTAATACTTCGGGTTATTAGGTGTTTATTTATGTTTCAATGGGCCAAGCATATCTGCAAAGTCTTTTTGCAGAACTAGATTTGCAAGTATCTAATAAAACTTAAATATTCAATCTTCTCTTGAATAAACGTTCAAAAATATCAACGCTGTTTTAGTCAGTTTAACTATATTGAACCGCCTACAGTATTTGTGTTGCAATTGTTGTTCTATTATTCATCATCTGTTTGTTTTATTTATTTGAAATTGAATATATTATTCGTAAAAAGGCGGGTTGCACCATAAATAACATGAAAACGTACTTTATTTGAACCCTTGATTTTATCTCGACATATTATTATTTCAATTATTTTCTGACTGTATTTGCGACTTTGAGATACCAAAATTCGAAGGCAATTCTTCTTTATATATATTATGCGAAAATCTTTAAGTTACGTCCCTAGAATTCACCACATTGCTAAAAAATATTGCTAAGAAATATCACGTAATTATTATATTACTTACGACATGCGGAAGGGTATGCATATACCTCAACCTCACAAAGTTCAAATCTTTCAACTACCGACTCAGATCTTGTAATTCTAACCCATTGTCCAAACACTGTGTTGGTCAGATTGAATGTATGAATGATACCTTTTGGAAGAGTTCCTTCATAAAATCCGTACAGTGTGTATTCGTTTCTGCTGGGACCAATGTACAATTCAATATCTCGAAGTCGTCTTGCAGCTTGAAAATCAAAATAAATCATAGCAAATAAGCAACTTGCTGGAATTGTCAAAGAAAAGAAGCTTTTACTCGAAGAAACCAGAAATATGTGTCGTGCTAATTAAAATAGGTATTACTTTTGGATGTATTACAATACTTATATTGATATATATTCCACAATATATTTCCATTCTGAAGGCACATTTTGACATATATAAAATTATAAAACAAATTAAAAACAATTATAACATTCGCGTGCAAACAAACAAAAAAACACCCCAGTTTATTAGGAATTTGTATTCAGTAATGGACACTAACAAACTTACACAATGAATCATTAACGTTTTTTCTTGAGTATAAGGTGACGTGATCAATGAACATTTTGTCTCCCAAGTCCACCTCCCAGTAAGCATTGGTTTCATTTTTTGTGAGGAAACAAGAGTTATCCGCTGAATCTTGTGACACATCTCCATCAACAGCTCTATCCGCTACTTTATCACCACCTGTGCTTGACATAAAGGCCTGCTTTCCAAGCGCCTTATTTTCTATAATGTATTTCTATATTGTATCAGATAATATGAGCATGCAAATACAAATGTAATTAGCACTTTTAAATAAAATATATATAATGTAAAGTCTTCGACTTGCAACTTTATAGAACAAATTAAAAAAAATCTCTTATTCTTTGTTTATGGTAGACCACAAAATGAATAACTTCAAGTGTCCGTTAATTTCTTGCACAAATATGCACATGGGTATTCCATAGGCATTCCTTCGCCAGAATAGTAAGAATGGCGCTTCATGTTCTTTAAAGTGTGATTTAATACCCAACACAAATGATTTGCAGACCATCTTAAGGAAATTGATTAATATTATTATTGTTTTTCAAGCAAAAAACCGAGAGTGAGAGACATCGAATGTCGAGCCCATATTCTATATTTACGACAAAATCTCCAAAAGGAATAAATTCGATGTACGTTTAGACAAATACTGTCAAAGTAACCTTAGAAGGGAAGACTTGAAATGAAATTATATTTACCTAGAACATACAGCTCGACTGAGGTATATGCTGTGACAATGATAAATACAACAAATAAATCCGTATTGGCTTTTTGTAACACCATTTTTAAATCATACAAAAGTAATTTACTAATTAACTGGTGACAACTGATAATAATCAGATAGAGTACTGGTAATATAGAATAACTTGATGTGATAAGATACTAATTCCTACTGAAATAATATGCGAGAAACAATTATCTTTTCATAACTTTTCATTAGTTACGCCACTTCATGATTCCTATCGCCATTCATACAGATTTAATTATTCTTTCATCAGACAGGGAAGAAAATAAATGTGCAGCACATAAATGCATGCCTAGCTTGCGTATTATTATCGCAAGATATTCCCAAGTGATTAAGAAAAGTACACAGTGTCGGTGTTGTTTGTTGTTTCGTATTATTTTTATCAATGTCAATGAAAAACAAAAAAAAATACCAGATCTAAAACAAAATGCTTGTTATGTTTAATTGTTTGGAAGATTAGGAACAATAGTTTTTGTAACATGTAGGGGGCAAAATTCGAAATCCAAGAGGAGGAAAATAAACGTTCATTACATTTAAGATTAGGAAGATATGTTAAATAGGCTAATAATCAAAATTAAATAAGGTAAAAACATTAAATTTGAATTTCTTACATTTTTGTGTCGGCTCTACAGAGTAGTGGCGACATATAGGGATCACTTCTCCGCCTTCTGTCCGTCCGTCACAAAACTTTTCAGGACTACTCTTCAAAAAGTGCTGGTGCCATTTCATCCAAACTTTAAAAGAATGACCAGCACAAGTTTTGCAAATCTTTGGCATTTTTAATTTTAATGATATTTGTTAGAGTTATGGCCCTTTAATTATTTTTATTTTTAAAAGTATGTCCGGACTACTCTTCTTATACCACAAATGCAATTTCAATAAAGCTTTACAGGATTGATCTGTAGCTCAAGTAATTGCGCATATTTCGCAGGTTTTCTGGATGAATATTTTTTGGCCGAGTTATGACCCTTGAATAAAAATGGTATTTTTTTGTGTAGCTGCCAGCCACACATAATATTGTCTGGAATCCTTCCCAGAAACTACTGGTGCAATTTCATCCAAACTTTACTGAAATGATCAGTACCAAGTCTCTGATTTTTCATATCACCTGCTTTTTCTGGTCAATGATTTTTGCCAGAGTGATGGCAATTTAATTATTTTTATATTCAAAGTTTTTCCAGACTACTCCACGTATACCACTTATGCAATTTCAATTAAACTTTACAGGATTGATTGGTAGTTCAAATACTTGCGTTTAATTTATTGGTTTTCCACGTGAATGGTTTGGCCCTTGAATAAAAAGATGATTTTGAGTTGTCAGCTTTACAGAAGCTTGTTTGGACTACTCCTCAATACAATGTTTTGTTGTGCATCTCATCAACATATTTTGATTCAATGATTTCGGCCGAATTATGGCCCTCGAATAAAAAACGCGTTTTGCCCTGTTTATGATTTTTAGTGTGTCTTCTGCCACACAGCAGCTGCAACATGCAATTGGCTATCAGGAGGCGACACATGTGCTCACTGATCGCCCTTGTATACATCAACTGGGGTATTTAAACCGGTAAGAAATGTCAAAGATAATTAAAAATATACTCAGAAGTTATTGCATATCGTATTTTTGTGCTAATCTTAGAATTGATTGAAACGCAAGAATAAGCAAGGAAACAAAATCAAAAGCCGTACATTGTAAGGGTCAACATGAAAGTTATAAAGAGTTAGAAAAGTTAAATTTATAACATAATGCTTCCTCTGTGTTTGTGATATTTTTGAAATCGATCCGTTACTTGACATTAACATACTTCTCGGTGCATTACTAAAGAAATATATAATTGCATACAATGAATTTCGGAGCATTCATTCTTAATTTTCAACGTAAGGGTCAACATGAAAGTTATAAAGAGTTAGAAAAAAATAAATAAAATAATACACAGAGTAAAATTTGATACAGAGACAAATTTAGGTTTGTGTCGTATATAATCAATACTGAGCTAATGATATAAGTTTGTAACATATCTTTAACATCCTTAGAAATGTAAAAAAAAAATCAGATAAATAAATAGATACCGGTAAATAAAAATGAATTTCTTTAAAAAAAAAAAAATAATAAATAAATAAATAAATAAATAAGTAACACCAACATTTTTCCACAACTTAATTTGTTTGTGTTAATAATCTTACTTATAAAATAATGTGATACCAGAGGAAAATAATCCGTAATGTCATATGACAATATCACTTTGCAACCCTCTTACATTAACAAACTACTTCGTGCGGCGCATATCGGGCGTCGGGTTTTAGTAAGTACTTGTTAGAAGTTTGAGAATTTAGTTGCTCGGAAGATTAATATCACACAGCACTGCATAGGAACAAAAATGTATTTTATTTGACAAAACAATGTCAAGCAATGATATGTTTTCTAATTAGAGATAATTGTTTTAATCAATATAGTATGTTTTATATAAATGTATCTTGTGATTGGTTTTGTGATATATATAAATAGATATCTTTCATTGGTGTGATAACTAGTCATATTCATAGTATTATTCCTGCAAATATGTGATATATGTAATTAACATAATGTGCAATAGAAAATAATATTATTTGATCTTAGAAATTTAACATCAGTCCAGTATATCATCTCTAAGTATGGACCTGAATGCCAGTTCTCAAGAAAATATATTCTTTACCATCAAAGGACCCCATTGGAAATAAGTTCTCTATTTTATATTGAACTTTCATGGGTTATCCTGTGTTGTATATATTGTCTTGAAGTCAACAAGATCTTTGATTTAATTATGAATGTAAAGTTATTATTTTTCAATTAATTACTGTGTTAAAAACAATGTGATAGATATATCTGTGATAAATTGTCTGAATTTGTTTTGTAATATGACATATATATATATATACACACAAATAAATCAAACAAACAAACGTAAATTTCGGTTGACATAACTTATCTAGGGTGAAGATTTCGTTCTGTCACCCTCAATGGGAAATTAAATATATATATTGTTATATGCCATATGATATGATATGATTTGATATGATATCATATGAATTACTTTCAGATCGTATTTAGATGTAAATCTTGAAATGACTGGAAAACGTAATACATCGGAATTATTATAATCAGAAAAGTTACATGAAAATTCGCAGAGTCGGTTTGGATGGTCTGTGCATGAAGGATACGATGCCAGTGCAACCATCCCCGCAGCCATAAGGACATTTAGTTACGGCTCTCATTTTTAACCACTTAAAAAATGCTGGAGTCAATTTTGAAAAACAGTAATATTAAGGTTTTTTATTTTATTTTTTCATCATTGTACAACAAATAAAATGGCAAATGTGTGTGTAACAGTTATTGAAAATAGATTGAATCTTTATTTTTTGTTGAGATATTAGGCAGCAGCCTTGTGATAGAAAGACATGGCAAATGGCAAACCAACAAGCATTTACCCGACTTCGACTACAACAAGCATTTACCCGACTTCGACTACAATAAACATTTTGATATACAGTGAAGAAAAAAGGTTTATTGATTTATTCATTTCCATTTCACATGTGTTTATTTATTTATTTTATTCTATTTTATTTTATTTAATTTTGGTCTGGTTGATGATACAAATAATAATAATAATAATAATAATAATAATAATAATAATAATAATAATAATAATGATAATAATAATAATGATAATAATAATGATAATAATAATAATAATAATAATAATAATAATAATAATAATAATAATAATAATAATAATAATAATAATAATAATAATAATAATAATAATAATAATAATAATAATAATTATGATTACAGTAATAATAATAATAATAATAATAATAATAATAATAAAAATAATAATAACAATAATTAATAATAATAATAATAATAATAATAATCATAATAGTAATAATAATAATAATGATCATAATGATAATAATAATAAAAATAATAAAAATAATAATAATAATAATAAAAGTAATAACAATAATAATAATAATAATAAAAATAATAATAATAATAATACATCAAATCACCCATTATACGATCAATATCACATCAATGTCTAGACAGACATACCTTTTAGTAAATGCATTATCGATTCAATTCATACAATTTCGATCACAACAACTAATAAGGAAAAAAATATAAATTATGCATTACTTTCATGACAACAATATGGCATAGTTACAATGCAGTTGACATACTTAGATAACACGTATCTTTATATTGATCTGCAAGGAAGATCTAAAAAATCAATTTTGTCATATTTGAGCTGTGTAAAAATAATAATTAGAAAAATTCGAGATTTAGAATTAAAGCGTTCTTTGTCCTACATTCAGTTCAAATATTCGTTGAGACCTCTTTAAAAAGAACCAAGTTTCTATGCCTTTGAATTTGTAATTAGTCAAAAGTATCATCCTATTGGAATCAACATCGATGTGTCGTCTGCCTCAACGCCTGTGTCAGGCGTCAGATATTCACACATGCGGGTGTCTTCATGAAATGTTGCTCCGTAACAGCCGTTAGTATTGTAGCATATTAAAGCGCAATGGAGGATGGATAAGGACTGACTTAGAGCTATGTTCAATACATGGACACCTGCACGTCTTTTGTTCAATATGTAGCCTTAAAAAGAGAAAATAAACGTATGATAGCTTTGTCCACGCCAAGCTAAAATATGAGCAGTAAAAGTTAGATGGGTGCACACATTTGTTTTTATTTATCTTAATGTATAAGCTGTAGGAATATGTGATATAACAGTGGTTTTTTATAGTGCAAACTGCAATCTCCCTTAGATCCTTCAGGTCAAGCTGTTTGTCTTGATTTCGATGGACAGAGCATATTTGCAAAGTCCTTTCGAAGAGTTTGATTTGCCAATTATACAAGAAAATATTATTTTCTCTTAGTGAGCATATTTGAGCCGCGTCACGACAAAACCAACATAGTGGGTTTGCGACCAGCATGGATCCAGACAAGCCTGCGCATCCGCGCAGTCTGATCAGGATCCATGCTGTCCGCTTACAAACCCTATTACAAGTACAGAAACTGTTCGCGAACAGCATGGATCCTGATCAGACTGCGCGGATGTGCAGGCTGGTCTGGATCCAT